TGTAGTTTACCTCCAAAACACATAGGGAGTAAAAAGTTGTGCACTGAACCTCCCTCCAAATGTACACACGCAAACCACACATTTTACAAGAATGTAGGAGGACCCGGTTGGTTCACTTTTCAAACTTGAAAAATGAGGCATATTAACAAAGCACACTAAATGAATCAGCTGTTTAGGATGATCTACAAGCCAGTTCATTTTCCTGTTATTAAATAACAAACCATGAATCTTGACAAATGAACCCCACTAGTTTGTCATTATTTGAAAAACTCATAACATGCTTGCTTCTGACGGTCACTTCCCTTTCTAAATTAAATTTTAAGATTGACCTTATTTAAATTCTGATAGAGGGAGAGAGCTTGTTAACCTTCATGTTGACTGTGCATTGTTTATCATCATCACTCTTTCCTTCCCCCTTTATAGGGGGCTCACCAGGCTCCTTCCATGTCACCCTGCAGGACTCACTGCACAGCAGCTCCTTGCATTTTTATTGGCGTCCCCATCATTAACAGGTGAAGTTCTGTAGCGTGGTGGGGTCTGCAAGGCTTCTGGAGTCAGACTCCCTCAGTTCAAACTGGGGCTCCAGCCTTGTGACCTTGAGAAGGTCATTTGCTCTTTCTGTGCCTCAGCTTGCTTGTTTGTAAGCTGGGATGGGTACCATGTGCCTCATTAGGTTGTTGGGATGACAACATGTAAGATGCTGAGCAAGCACACATTAAATGTTACCTATGATTATTAGACTCTTCGTCTTAAGAATAACATCTTCAAAAATGGATGCCAAGTCATTTCACTTGGTCTCTTAAAGAGGACACTGATACTAATTCACTGATTTAGCCACCCCAACCTGTGTCTGAGAAGGCTTTAGCCCCCACCCCATGACCCCTCACAGACCCTCCCAGCAATGCCACCATGGATAAACAGCTACGTACAATCTGCACGCTTGCCAAGCATATACAGTTTCGAGAGACGTCCTCTACCTTCCCCTTCAATCCAGTGCCATCCCAAGCCCTTCTTTTGAAAATCTGCCTTTTCTACTGGTTTTAACCCGTGACACGGCGAATTCATTGCAACCCCTTACCCTGTTGCAGCTCAGTGTTACAGTGTTGAGCAACCCCAGACCTTAAGTCCTCAGAGCTCCTAAATAGAATTTGTAAAGCATGACTTTGAGCAATATAGCAGTCAGTTTCATCTGAAGGAAAATACTCTTTTTACTAACATTTTTAAAGCCCTTCCTCAGTGCCTCAAAGTGATTTAAAAGCTAATCAATGATAAAATTCTGGGTTCACTTAAAGACAAGGAATTGAGAAAGGAATCAGTCACATTTAACCACTTTTAATCAGGGAAGTGGCTGCTGTGAACTATTAACCCCTAAAGATTATTGATGCTTTTTTTTAAGATGCTGTAGTTTTAGTTATTTGTCTTTGGCAGCCAGAGCATACAAAATTTCTTTTCACAGATTAATTCATTTCAGCCTGTGCATTTGTCAGATATTCCCAGAACATTCAGGCAATGTTTTGTTGATTAAAAGATGTGTATTTTGCAAACGGAATGGAGAGGAAGGAATTTAAAATTCTCAAAATCAGGGAATGATTTACAATGCAGACAACTACCTGAATCACTCAGTGCACCGTGGACACATAAATGAAGTAGTAAGAGTTAGGCAGGGTGTCAGCACTGGGTCTGAAAACCTATGGATTAATTGGTTCAGTAACACTGGGAAGGTCTACCTCTTTCAGCAGAATTTCTCGAACTCACAAACAAGAATATGACACAGGAAAAAAAACCCACCTTTGTGTAGCATTTCAAAGGGCTTTTGAAATACATCCTTTCTCCACAACAGTCTGGTGCTTCTACTCCTATTCATAAATTACATACCTTGTTTCCACACACACAAGTTCCTGCTACTCATTCCAGCTTTGATTTGCTTTTGACTGTTTTGTTTAATTTTTTCCCAGTGAATACATTGGGCCCTTTGCAGGGTGCATTCATTGTTTTAGGCACCATGCAATTTACTAAATGGTGTTCCAGTTATGTAAAATGCTCACAAAGACCCCTGAGGGAAAACAAAAGAATTAAGCAAACACCTATTGATCATCCTGTAGTTGGTGCTTTCTTATTTGATCAGTCAAGGGCTCAGTCTGAATGGGTCCATCTGATCTGTGATCTATAAAGCTACAAACATTTTTCTGGCTCTCTGGTGGTTTAAAAGGCTAGACAGTAGGAACAACTGCTTTAAACAAAGCCTCATTTTAAAAGAAGCCTGAGTACAGAATGGAATTCAAAGAATTTAGAGGGAGGGGAGGTGAAAGTAGTAAAAAGAAGGAAAAAAAAGTCCTGGGAAATTTAAGAGAAGGAAGCACATGGGAAGTGAAAGATACATACCATCTGTCCTGTTCTGAGACACAAGACACTAGGATGCTACTTCAGCCAGGATGTACTGAGCACCTACTAAGTGCAGGGTTTGTAAAGAGTAAGGGTTATGGGGTATCTCAGGAATGAAACACAATTCTTAGGTCAAGAAGGAGTGGTTTTTTATGCCAGCCAAGAATCTTTATGCAGTTATTAAGTTCCAAAAGGCAATGACTATATGACATTTTATTCAAATATTGGGAACAGAAAATCTTGCCCTGAGTAATTCATATTGAAATCCCACGTTAAAAACGTTGGTAACAAATTCATACTAAAGCTATGGTTGAGGAAATGTTTATTTCGGAGAAGGAAGTGAGAGACCCTGGGTGCCCTCCTGCTTTTCCTCCCCCGTGACCTTCCCATTTTCTTAAACAAAATGCCTCATGCACCTTAGCCTCTTCGTGTTTGCATTCGACAATTCTGTGTTCTTCTTCCCACTCCCCACAACCCCCAGTGAATAAGAGGAAAGCCTGAGGGAAGGGAAGGCAATAAATAGGAAGTTTGAAGTCCTTTACATAGGAGGTGGTTCAGATGCTGGCCTAAAGAAAAAGTGGGAACTTAGAGGAGAGGACGATTGTAGAAACAAATCTCTGGGAGATTTTGGTAGCTGACTGTATTTTGAGATCTAGGATTAGGGAACAGATGAAGCTAACAGCAAGGTTTCTAGCACGGAGGTGGAAGAATGACAGCAACACAGAGAAAGTGGGGTATTTGTCATGGGTAGCTGGTGTGGAAAGTCGGGCCATGAGAGCAGATAGAACGAGCTGCCCTTTGGCAAACTGCATGGAAGAGGCATTGTCTTAGAGTCAGTTGGAAATGTGGACTGGGGAACATCTGAAATCCTGGAAATACATGTTAAACAGACTGTTATAGCAGGAAACAAGGCTGGATACTACTAAAATGTGGCCTTTTGTATGGGTTAAAGTCTGTGTTTATTCAATTTTTATTATACATCATGCAGCCTAAGTATTTATTAAGCACCTACTTGCTGTTTGAAGGGTACCTACTTCCCACCCCTGATAAAACAGTGAATGCATCTTCAGGTTAAAATTCAGCCAAAAGTGTCCCCCACGGGCATCTGATGAATGTGTTTATTGTGTCTTTAGGTAGCATTATGGGTTATGGTTGAGAATATTTGGGAGAGTTATATAGATCAATGTCACTAGCAATACAAATACGAATGAAAATGTTATCATTATCATTATTTATAATTATTACATTTTTGTTATTGTTAACATTTATTACATATTTACTCATTTCCAGGAGCCATTTTGATTGCATCGGCTCCTTGAGCTTTGGTAAAAACCCTATGATGCAGGAAAGTGCTATTTTTATCTACCTCACATTAATGAGGATGTTGAGTCTGGAAGAGGTTAAGGCACCATCTGAAGGTCACGCAGCCAATAGGAAACTCCAGGGCCTTCGGCCCAGTCAGTGTAATTTTAGAACTTTTGAAGATATGCCTGTATGAAAAAGAAATAAAGTGTAATAAGTAATATATCTACTATAACTAGAAAGACTCTCAGATTGCATAGCCTAGGTTGCTGGAGGTCATTTTATCATTTCTATTTTGTCATAAAATAGTGCGACAGGTTAGAGAAATAATGCTCTCCTGGGGGAGATTTTACTCCTCAGGGACTTTGGCAGTGTGTGAAGACGTTTTTGGTTGCCATAACTGGGATATGGGTGCTACTAGACTCTGGTGGTAAGAGTCAGCAATGCTGCTACCACCCTATAATGAACAGGACAGTCCCAGCAGGAGAGAACTACCCTATCCTCTTAGTCAATAGTGCCTAGGTTGAGGCCCTGGATTAGAGTAAAATAAAGGGAATCTTGACTGTGCAGTGAGAGAGTGGGGGCTGAGTCTTGCTAACAAAATATTTTTCACCGTGAAGAAGCAAGTTTGGGAAAGAGGAAAGACATGAGATAGATTCATTCATTTGTTTATTAATAGAATCACTACTTCATGTAATAGAATCACATTTAGTGTGATTTCTTTTTTTTTAACTTGATTTTAGAGAGAAACAGAGACAGAAATGTTGGTTTGTTGTTCTATGTATGCATTCACTGGTTGGTTCTTATAGGAGTGTTTGCCCTGGCCAGAGTTATCACAGGAATTGTGCTGGAAAGTAATGCTGAGGAAACAATATAAAGAAGTTGCTTTGGAGAAAAGGAGGAAACAAGAAGTAGAAGCGAAGCAAAGATGATTGGCTATTAAAGGGGTGCTAGGCAGAGCTTTGGTGTCAAGAGGGAACTGTTTTATTTTCTGTCAGAGAGGAAGATGACATGCTACTTTAAGGGCTTAAGCAAAATCACAGTGGACACACTCAGTGGCCATAGGCTACTGTCAGGAGCACCTGGGAACTTGTCTTTGTCCCATTTATGGCAAACTTTGCTGATCTGAATACAGGGCCAGAGAGAAGAGAAAGCAGCAGATTTGTTCTCAGAAGCACACAGAATAGTGATATAGAGAAGTGTGTGCATGTGTGGATTGGAGAGGCCAAGACATTTGCATTGCTTTCGAGGTGCTCTGCTGGCCTGGGACTAGGTGCTGGCTTTGTTTTTCCAGTAACAGCCTTTTCTATTTCCAGCAGTCCTATGCACCAGCTCCCCACCCCATGGCTCCTCCCAGCCCCAGCACAAACAGCAGCAGCAACAACAGCAGCAGCAACAGCAGCGGGGAACAGTTGAGTAAAACCAACCTGTACATTCGAGGCCTTCCACCAGGCACCACTGACCAGGACCTAATCAAGCTGTGCCAACCGTAAGTGCCCTTCTGCTCTCCGCGCCGTTTCTTACCCACATGCTTGCCCACCTGGGCTCAGACCACACTGCACTTGGCTCTTGTTCCCAATATTCCCACTCATTGGGGTCTCAGTGAGGAAGACTCTGTTATGTGAATGGGATTTACATTTGAGTTCTAAGTCCAGCTTACTTTAGGTAATAAAATTTGTTTACTTCATGGCGGGGAAGTGAAGTTCTTGAGCAGGTATACGTGGGCATACTGGCTGAAATGCAGGCATTAACCAGAAAGATGATGGTCAAGCATTGAGTTGAGGCCTCAAACCTCACGGCTGATGGAGTCAGTGATGAATATCATTTAAAAAGTTGCTTTTCCCCCCTGAAATATTAGTGCAAGAAATCACAAAAACTCAGAGAATGTGGCAGATTTCAGAATGGTTCTCTTCTGTATTGCAAAGATTTCCTAGCAAGTTCTTGGTAAATACCAGTTTGATGGGAACCAGGTAACTGGAGAAGTCTAAGGCAAATTCTCTAGTTGCCTTGAAAACATCTACTTCCAAGTTCAGTAAAGCTATTTTCCACTGAGGCCAAGAACTGCTAAGTAGCTTTATATTTCTTAGGGAATATGGGAGTGATTAAATGCCCTTCCAAAATGGTTTCATTTTTCTCTTATCTACCAACGCATAGTCTTAACTCTCTCATTTCTGTGAACATAAATTAAACATATTCAAAAAGGTGAAAGATTTACATGATCTGAAGAAAAACCAGGGTATAAATTAAACATATTTAAGTTTACCCTCCAAACATAATTAATAATGTATAATAAATTAAGGATCATAGATTTGTATTTTTGGATTGTTACCTGATGATTTTCAAGTATCAGCTTAGATATTTGTTATTCGATTGTGCCTTAGCTGGGTATTTTTAAGTTAGGGGAAAATATTACTCAAGTTTTCATTTTCTCTTTTGCAATGCTTTTACAAGAAGGTTGAGAGGATATTTATTTTGTAAAATTTCCAACCTCTAAAATATTGGGAGAGGAAAACAAAGCAGACAATATTTATTTGCCTTTGTTCTGGTTTTTAAGACTGGGAACAAACATCAAAACAACAGGAAGTGCTAGATAAACCGAAACACAAATATGTAACCATATAACCAGTGGATTAGGCAGTAAATGGACTAGGGTGGAGACACTTTGAAAACATTTATTTAGAAACAGTTTTGAAAACAAAATAAAGGACGAAAAGGTTCCATGGCTAAGACATGAATATGTTAGGTTTCGAAGATGCAAAATGTTGAGGTTGAGAATTACAAGGTAAATCACTCACTTTTTTTGTTGTTGTGGTGGTGGTTCTTGCCGTTAGAAAAATCGAAACCATTTTTAAAAAATAAGGTCTTCAAAAATATGAAAGATTGCAGACTTTTATGTTAGAAGCTTCAAACGGAGTATCTCCTGTAATGAAATCTGATGTGAAAAAGAAGGGCAGCTATTAACTTTGTTTTGTATGTGAATCTCATTCATAGAAAAATATTGGATGGCACAGAAAGATTGTTTCCCATTTATAAAGCTCTGCTCTATACTAGTCAGAGCACCCGTCGCAACACAGGTTTCTGGGGCCCAAGACATTATGATTCACTCAGCCTGGGGGGGAGCCCACGCATACCCATTCCTCACAGGCTCGGTGGGGTTGTTAATATCGGTGGATTTGGGGGATGCATGTCTCTCTACAATAATATGAAGATCACTGACTATTTCTTATGCATAAAATTTCACTTAATATATGAAGGTTGTTGAGTTTGGCTTCTGTGTATTGCAATCTGTATAGCTACCATATGATCTTGAGGCAGATCACTGAGCCTCAGTGTTCCCTTATACGCGGAGGTTACCTGTAATATCGTATGTGCTAGAGGTGGTGTGCTGAAGCCACCTCTGATTAGTGCCCTAGAGCCAATCGTTAAATATGCTGGAATTCTATGAATGATTCCTTACACACTCCGTGTCTTGGAGTTGGCCATGGTGGAAGTATTTATGTCACAATAATAAGGGAGCTCTACAAATTAGAGCTTAAAGTTTTTTACTCTCTCTCTCTTTTTTTTAGAGAGAGCTAGTTTATAAACATACCAGTGATAGAGCATTATACTATAAAATTCTGTATCAATGTCTGTTTCTGCAAAAAAAATGTTGCTGGAAATATATAAATGAAAATTACTACCTAAGAGAGCCCGTATTGGCATTTTAATTTAGGAAAGAGATTTAATGGCATAGAAACATTATTTTAGAGAAAAGAAGTTTTGTTAATATTTGCTATGTGACTGGAGAAATTTAAAGAACACTAAGTGCATGGAGGGTAATGGTTACTTGTTCATATTAATTTTTGCTAGTTAATAAAATGTGGCCCATGCTATTGTTATTATAAAAATGTTTATGGGTTCTCCAGCTACTGATGTGGTCTAGACCTGGGGTTTACTTCTTAGATTTGTTTTCCTGTCGAATCTTACAGAACTAACATAATCAGGCAATGGGAATGTAGTAGAAGTAGTTGTGCAGTAAGGTCTTGGTTTCACTCCTGGCTGTGCTGTCAGCTAGGTACTGGCCAAAACAAACAATTTGTCCCTTCTTAACTTTGGTTTCCACCATGTATAAAATAATCTATTGGAACTTGATAATCTTTTAAATTTCTTTTATCCTAAAATTCTGATATTTTACTGAGGACCCTCATTGGTCAGTAATAACACCTGGTCTGGGCCACCTTTTATGTCTTTGAGCAGGTCCCTTGTGAAGAGTTGTCGGGGCTACAACCTAAATAGATACAGCTACATGAATATGATCTGATGGCTAGGGATGCCTTTGGCACGAGACCAGTGCAGATCACGTGTAAAATCCTGTTTTGTCTCAGGTAGTGTTGGTCTCTCACGTTGCTTATTACTACTTTACATTAGCAGTCTTCCGAAGGTGCAGATCATTTTGCATTTTGATCACTCATCTAACACTTTAATTTCATCTACAAAACAGATACTGTTTTGTTGCTTTAAATGAACTTGCTATGAAGATCAATTTTCCATGTTTATTTCTATGAAATTATATCTGAGAGTTAATATTATTTTATAACATAGAAAATACAATACTTGCTTATATCCACAGTAATAAAATGATAGAAAATAGAGATATACAAAGAGGGCATGTAGATATATCAAATTATCTGGAATTTAAATGCAATATCCATATTAATACCAAGGAATGGCAAGAAAATGATATTAAAGGAAAGCAATTGCATTATTTCACAATGAATAACCTGCGAGCAAATTGTTAGGTGTTCCATTCACATTCATCACCAAAGCTTCTATGTTTGAATTGCAAATAAAGTGAAAGAAATGAAGACAAGACTGAAAAAAATAATAGATGTGACGAATGACTTCACTCCATGAAAAAATCTCTAGATATACCTATGTTCTGAATGAATACATTACATTGTGTGTCTTGTAGGAGAGGCCTTGTAATGCCTTCATCTTGAGAATTCTCAAGGACATTTATTGTATTTTCAATTAAAAAATATTTACAAAGCATCTCTGTTGCATGCCAGATACTGGCCTTGTTTTAGCAGAGCTTATACTCCATTAGGCAAAATAGACCATCAATTAAATAATCATATAATTTGATTTAAAATTGAAACTATAAATGCAATAAGTGAGCATGGAACTAAGAGTTTTGTAACATGAGATTACACCTGGATAGGGCCATGAGCAAAGGCATCTTTGAGGAATTGACAGCTGAACTAAAATGAGAAGGAGGAATTGGCTTGACTAAGTAAAGAAGGAAGGGAAGGATCTTCCAGGCAGAAGGAACTTCATGTGTGTGGATCCAGTGGCTGCAGGGAGGGCAGCAAAGATTAAAGGGTTGCAAATAAAGCTAATATGGTTATAGTAGAGAGACAGTGTTGGTGTACAGGGTGATATAAGCTGGAAACATGGAGAGGAATAAGGTGATGATCTCTCTGTGTATCATGTGAGGAGCTTTTTTAATTTCTAAGAGCAATGGAGGAAATCACTGAATTGTTACAAACAGGAAGGTAACACAGAATTTGTTTCAAAAAGATAACTCCAATGGCAGAATAGAAAGAGAGGATCCCATGAGTGAAATCAAGGAACAATCAGAGTACGAAGAGGTGAGAAGTGATCTGGAAGAAGAATAATTTATGGTCTGAGAAGCAAGCATGAGAATTAATAATTGTGGTGGTAGCAAAATGGTGTGTGGTGAAATGTCTTCTTTCATATGTATTTATTTTTGTATTAAGAAGCAATGACTTAAGAGGCAATTAACCAAATGAACCCCCAAAGAAACAGGGAAGTAGCACAAAATAGGACCCAAGTCATTGATTTTTAGTCTCTCTTTCTTACCCAGTCATGTGTGTATCGTCAATATACTATTAAACAGTCAATGTCTGCCACATTAAAAGCACTAAAGGCAAATGCAGTGGACCCCTGAGCAACATGGGGGTTAGGGACACTATCCCCTATGTAGTCCAGCATCCTCTGCATATAATTTTGACCACCCCCAAACTTAACTACTGAATAGCCAACTGTTGACCAGAAGCCTTACCAATCACATAAACAGCCGATTAACACATATTTTGCATTATATGCATTATATACTTTATTGTTACCATAAGTAAGCTAGAGAGTAGAAAATGTTACTAAGAAAATCATAAAGAAAAGAGACAATATTTTTATAGTTACTATATCTATCAATATCGTAAGCTTACCATTTGTTTACAAGATAAATTATCTGTCATTATCTATGTCTATATTGTCATGTATGATAACAAAACACTGTAGATATTACATGTATAACTAACACCAGACATCAAAAATGAAAAGATAATGTGGAAAAGAAATTCATATTTATTTACAGGTATAGTGATCGATAACCAAGAAACAACAGTGTGGTTACTTTGTGGTAGTCTAGTGTAATCAATATGACTGCTTCAGTGGTAGTAAGACAATCTCAAAAAATTTTCCAAGTAT